GTTGTAAAATGGTCGTAGATATAATTGCATTTTATAAACATATTTACTTAAAAAGTTTAACATTCCAAGGAACTCTTGGATTTTCTTTTTATTTGTTGGTGGTTGAAGTTTTTGAATAGCGTCAATGCGTGATTTCAGTGGAGTGATTGTTTTTCTTTCTATGTTATGTCCTAAGAATTTAACTCTTGTCAAAAAGAAATGTGATTTATCGGGGGCGGCCTTCAGATTTTCATTCTGAAGTATTTGGTGATATGTTTCTAAAACTTTGAACATTTCGTCTTTTGATTGTGATTGCATAAAAACATCGTCTAAATAGGTGATTGCGTTTTTCTTGAGTATTAGTGGTCTAAAAATTTTGCTCATAAAGGCTGAAAATGCTGCTGGTCCTATGGATATTCCATAGAATAAGCGGTTGAATTCATATTGTTGGTTTCCGATAACAAATTGTGTTAAACGTCGTGATTGTTCATCTAGTGGCATTTGATTGTATGCACTATTCATGTCGGCGGTTGTGAAGTATTTGCCGTTTATTTTTGTTAAAATAACTTGTATTGGTTCAATGGGCCAATTACATTTTGATTCATCTATGAGTGAATTGAGGTATCTAGCATCGAGAACGATTTTTAATGATTCTCCTTTAGCTAGAATGATAACGGGGTTGATGAATGTGTTGCCTTTTGGTTGTTCTTCTTTATTAACTGGTGATATAATATTGTACTGTTCTTTATAGTCGTGTGTATTTAGTGAATATGCTTTTCGAACTAGTGTTTCGATTCTTACTGCTATTTGCTTGATGGTTTCGTTTGGTAATCTGCGAATTTCATTACATAAAACTCTTTGTTGTTGTTTGTTTCTTTCGGAGTCAAACATTTTTGAAAATTCTTGTGTAAATCTTTTCCAGTTTGATTTTATTTCTAGAGGTAGTACTGAAAACCATTTTTGGGCTGCGCCATCTAAGGTTGTTTGTATCAACGCTGTGCGTCGATGTATCCAGTTTTGATGTAGTGGCGTATTAATTGGTTCAGGTCCTATATTTAAAATCAGGTTTGCTGTTACTGCATTTAAATAATCTTCTACAGAGTATTCAGGGTCTGTTCCTGTGAAAACCATTAAAGGTTTGTTTGATGTTATTGATGATCCACCCATTAGGTATGGATTCATTGTCATTTGTAATGATTCTGCTGCATTTGGCATTTGAGAAAAATTTGAAAGTTGGTTTCTTGTTATTTCATGTTGTTGAAGATAATATGGGAGTGGTATTTCATTTTGCATTTGTGATGGTTGATACGAGTGTGCAGTCATTGGATTTTGTTGTTGAATTGGTTGAAAAGATTGTGTATTAATTGGATTTTGCTGTTGAATTGGTTGTTGATGTTGTGCATCTATTGGTTGTGGAGAAAAATTCCTATAATTTGTACGTGTTTTCTGTATTCCTTGTCTACGATATTCTTGAGTATTTTGTGCAAATATATCTGGTTGTAAGAAATCGTCATCTGAGGATAAATAATCCATTTGATAAGTTGTTTGTTTTTTATTTTTATTTTGTTGAAAAAATGGGTAATTTTCACTGCGATCCTGTGGAGGATTTGGTTGAAAATTTGTGGAATTATATTGGGCCGTTGGGTTATCCCAGTTTCGAGGTTTTGTATATTGATTAAAATTTCTTTGTGGTTGATAATTTGTTTTTGATGGATGTGTATAATTATAATTATGGTCTGCAAAGTTGTTTCTAGTGAATGTTTTGCGTGTTTTTGATGGTATTGTCATGGGTTTGTATGTTTGGTAATCCATATGTGAATATTTAGGGGCAACCGAAGGTTTAACGGTTGATTGTAAGGTTACCTGTGTTTGTGAAGGATTTGTATTTCTTGGTGTTGTTAAATTTGGGCGTATTGGTGAAATACTTTGTTGTGTAGTTGTTGTGTGTACAATTTCTTCATTTATGAAGTGTGATGGTGTCTGGATATCTTGTTGAGTAAGATTCCTAGTTCCATTGAGGTTTTCATTGTGTATGGCTGTAGAGTTTAAACTATTAATTTGTGTATCGGGTAAAAATGTATTATAGTTTAATGGTGTTGCATCAATTGTTAATGGTATTACTCTTACATAATCTCTTATGTAAGATATTGTACCTATTGCTTGACTTGAGATTGATTGTGGAAAGTTTATAAATGCGGAATGAGACCATTCGGGGTCCCAAACATAATCTGATTGTTCTGTGATAGCGGTATCATCGTTCGAATTTTGGGGTCTAAAATTTTTTCTTGCTTGTGCAATTAAATCAATATTGTGTGTAAAATAATCTATTATGAACCATGCTAAAATTTTTTGTAAATCGTGTTTGGTATGTTGTGAAACGTCGTCTTTCGTGAAATTTTCTTTAATGATGTTTAAATAACTAGAGAGTAGTGTGATTTCATGTCGTACTCTTAAATGTTTAGATGTTTCTGTCGGTGAGACATTTGTTAATGGGAGTTCATTTTCTAATATCGAAATATAACTATATATTAGTGCGAAAACTTCATTGGTGAAAATGGAGTTTGCTCTTTGTGAGTTATGGTATTGGATGCTTTTTATATATTCTGAAAAAACTTTTGAAAATTCTAAATCAAGGTCGTCTGTTTGAATAGTATATGTTCTATTATTATGGTTTGGGGAAGTGAATTCTATAGAGTAGATTCCATACTGTTGTGTTATGTTGCATATATCTTTTAGATAGTGATCTATGATTTGTCTTTTGATTTTTACATCGGGGAACTCTGTTTTACATGGACTGATTCCGGGTTCAAATAAATTTACGAGTAAATTTTGACAAAATATGTGTTGTCCTCTATCAGTATCTGCATCTACTATAAAAGGAAAGATTTCATCATCATCTGGAGTTTCGTCACCTGGGGTGTGCGTTGAACTCATTTTTTCGTTCGATGACTGTTAATATGTAATTATTAATGTGTCGAATTGGTTGATTCCAATTGTATAGATGTACTGGTTTGTGTTTATACTGCTTTTTTATTCTTCTTTTTCCTCTTTGTGATGAATTTGAAGTTGTTTCTGAGTCAGAAAAATATAATTGATCGTGTTGTGGGCAATTTTTATCTATTGATTCTTTTAGTTTGTAAAGTTCGTCTAAACTGTTGGTTTCTGATTCTGAAAATGCGTTTCGATTTTTTGAAAATCTTTTTCGTGTTATTTGTCTTTGTTTAGTTATTATTTTTCTCTTTAGTGTTTGTCGTTTTGTTCGAATGTATCCAATTGTTTGTGTATGAGGTGTGATTACAAGGTCGTATTTTTTGTTATCTATTTCACAATTGTGTAAAATGATTGTTTGTTTATTTCCTAGGTTTTTAAATGACATAAGGTTTAGAATGACGGATGCAAAAGGTTGTTAAATGATTTCTATTGACTTAAACTGTTAGTTCTTACGATTTTTTGGTTAGCTTAACCTGGGTCTATTTTTCAGGGTTGGAGAGAAAAGTATATCGATTCCGAAGAATGATTTTTACTTTCTCGTGACTAGTATAAGCTAAGGTGTTAACTTACTTAATCTTACTTAGGGGTAGTGATTGTGTTCAAGGGTTGGAGAATAGTAAATCGATCCACAAGGTTCAGGTATAATTAGAACGCGAGTAGTTCGTTAGATACTATTTTAAACTTACTAAGTCTAAGATTTATCCTGGGTCTGGTAAGAGGAGGGGTCAAGTGAAGGATGAATAACCGAAGTTCTTCACTGTTTATCCTAATTTGAATGATTAGTTTTGTTTAAAAATTTCTATTAGTCTTGGGTTTTTAGAAAGGGTTGGGTAGTGAATCGACGTTTGAGGTCGTTAGACACTAATTAAGTGGGTGGGGGAGAACAAAGTTGTTCTGTTTGATCCAAGGATAAGCCTTGATGATCAAATTTAAAATTTAATTAAGTAGAAAATGATTTAAGATCCAAGGATAAGCCTTGATGATCTGATTTTAAATTAAGTGACTTTAAATTTTAATAAAGTTTTAAATTTGTGTAAAGGAAAGATTTAGTGTTTTGATGATATTAGTGGGTTTATGATTGCTGTTATGTTTTAGGTGATGAAGCTGGAACAACAGGATGATTTATGATTACTGACCATTTATTGTCATGCTACTAATTTTTATTTTTATTTTCCAATAAATATTCTTCAAACATGTTTTGTATAATACTGCAGAGTTTTAGGAAAACGATCTTAGATCTTTTTATCAATCGTTATTGTATAATATTAATTTGTTTAGCGCCTGAAATGATTTTGAAGATTTACTTCAAGGTTTTATGTTTGCAAATGGAAATCTAAATTCATTGCAAGTAGTATTCGAAATATAAAAGTTTGTTCTGGCTTTTGCCGAACTATCATATAACTATACGGCAAGTTTCTACTTTGTCGTATGTCGTCTTTGGTTCGATGTCTTCTTCCAATTCCGGGTAGTTCTATTATGGTTCGGAATATTGGCTCTGATCTATTGAGTCGGAGAGACATTTCAATTAAATTATTGTCGTATAACATTTTGTAAATGTTTTTGTCTAATTTCTAATCTAATTTTGGTTAATTCTAATCTAGTAAGGTCTTGTTCGAGACTTATGGTCGCACCAGATGAGTTATGACTGGGGTGTATAACTCATAGAGTAATTTCGGATAGGGTACACCGTCTGCTCGTCACGCTATCTTATTTTCGGCCGGATAGATTCGTGCAACTTCTTAGTCTAATACCGATCCTAATCTTACTCTTATACTATCTAGTCTCAGGTTGTTTAACTAGTCTCTGCTAGGCTCAATAGATCTAGGGTATACTGGTTTATTGCGGCTGCTGAAGTGCTCGGGAGAGTCCAACTAATTTCTAAGTTAAATTCAAATCTCTCTGGTGCTGAAATTACAAGTAACTTCAGCACTTACAAATAAGTGGGTTGTTAGTTAGATGGATCATGATTGGTTAATATTAAATACTTTACATTGGTAAAACATTTAATTTATCCAATCATAAAATATAGTTTAGATCAGGTTCCAGTTGGCATTTTCTGAAAACCAACAAGAATATTGGCAATTGAAAAGTCGCCAATCAAAAAATTATTTCATTTGATATTGCAGAGATTGTGTGCGGTTTGAAACTGAGGATAGTGTCTAAAATTAAAAAAAAATTCAGTGTTTCGAAAACCAAAAATTTGAATTATGCTCCCAACAAAACCGCTCCTATTAGCTTCAGTATTTTGCCTATCGAAACCAATCCTAAAAATTTTCTATTTACAGCATCAATTTTCTTAATTTACCTTGACATCCATCATTATATTCGATATAGCCTGGGGGACATTTGCAGTGATATGAGCCGACTGAATTCTCGCAAGTTGCTGTTTCACCACAGATTTCATGGTCACACTCATCGATATCTAAAGCAAAAACAAATTGTTAAAAAAGAAAGACATGATCTGAAGCCATCAAGTTTGCAGTGGTGAGATCGATTTAGAATCTGACATGTTTTGATTTCATTGCAGACTCCGTGGTCAGACTCATTTATATCTAAAGCAATAACTAATTTTAAAAAATAATTATCCGAAGTCAACCAATAGTTTAAAACAATTCTCATCAATCAATCATTTAAAATGTTTAAATAATCAAATCAAGTTATGCCCAGAAACATTTTTTGTCTATAACTTTTTGACTTGCGTTGGAAAAAAATTACACAATTTTTTGAAATCGTTATATTTTTTTGGACTGTGGTCCACAGTAAGGGACATTACCAACAATCAAACAAATTAATCTTTTGGCTTTACTTTTCTGTCACTTCATCTTCAAAATGTCAGGTTGTTTTTCAAAAAAAATCATCAAAACGAACATGCCTCTCGCATTAGCTGCAGCTTTTTGATTATCAAAACCATTTTTAAAAAATTACAATTAAAACTATCATTTTTTGTGCCTTACCTTGACATTCATCGTTCTGTTCGGTATAGCCTTGGGGACATTCGCAGTGATATGAGCCGACTGAATTCTGGCAACTTGCTATTTTGCTACAGGTTTCTTGGACACACTCATCGATATCTAAAACAATATCGAATTTAAAGCAAAAGAAAACTATGATCTGAAGCCATCACAAACGCTGAAAAATTATTCCAATTTTTGGCCCTTTTTCTGTCGAGAGATGTGAGTCATTCGAAAGTTTTATCAGAATTGTATTGGGAATTCTATCTTCAAAAGAATTCTGTTTTGATGCAACATTCGGAGCAAGTAAAATCTATTTTAAAATTTCTTTTTTTTTCGGCGAGTTCTTATTTATTCAATATTGCGTAATTTTTCTGCAGTTCAAAAATTATTCGTGAATAAAAAAACTGCAATGTTGCTCCCAGTACTTGTGTATTTCGATTATCAAAACCAATTTTAAAAAGTTTCAATTGATGTCATCCATTTTCGAAGTTTAACTTGACATCCATTATTCTGCTCGATATAGCCTTGATGTACTGATACTAACTGACTGATTTGTGGCAACTTGCAACTTAGCTAAAAAAACAAAGGTCGCATTCATGGGTTTAAAAGCATAATTGAATTCAGATATTTTTATTTACCCCCTTCCCACATCAAACTAACCAAAGAATTCTCACCCCAATCACTGAGTTGAAAATTTGAATATGTGCATTTTTTTAAACAAATTTTGTCCCTTTTAGTGGACAAGGCGGGGGGGGGCAGTGAAGAAATTCAAATAAGACAGATTAACTATTCAAAAAGACAAACACAGGATCCAAATCGATCCAATCGTTCTCAATTGGTTTCATCTTTCGTCCGAGTTTTTGTTGGGAAAATTGTTGTTGATCCGATAGCACATTGAAAAACCGAATAGTTCCCTTCCCAAATCATCCAAACTGTCGTTATAGATTAAGGCACGGGGGAGGGTTCTCATGCGGTGGCGTCCCTCATGCTTGAAGGACCGAATGCTTGAAATTAATTTTAGCTTACTTTCAGCCAATCAGAATTGAGTATTCAAAATCTCAAAGTAAGAAAATGAATCCAGGCCATTAGTGTTAATATTGACCGATTAGATAATAAGCAGATGAGTTTTCAAGACTGAAAAATTCATATAATTTTGACCTCATTAATCTTGATGATTATCTGATTGGTATAGTGGTTGTAACCCTCAATTTGTAGTATTTTTGAGTATTTTCCACTGATTTAATACATTTTCTGTTAATATTGACTTCGATTTTGTGAGAAAGGCATTTAGCCAATAGAAACGCTTAGCGATTTTGATTGGTTGAATATTTTCAAGCATTCGGTCTTTCAAGCATGAGAACCCTCCCCTTCTCATGCTTGAAGGACCGAATGCTTGAAAAATTTCAACCAATGAAAATCGCTAAGCGTTTCTATTGGCTAAATGCCTTTCTCACAAAATCGAAGTCAATATTTACAGAAAATGTATTAAATCAGTGGAAAATACTCAAAAATATCGAGCGGATCCGAGTATTGCGTTGGTTTGCGTTGGTTTTCTTTTCTTAGTCATGCTGTAACCCTCAATTTGTAATATCAGGTCTTGCGTTGGTTTTCTTTTCTTAGTCATGCTGTAACCCTCAATTTGTAAAATTTTTGAGTATTTTCCACTGATTTAATACATTTTCTGTTAATATTGACTTCGATTTTGTGAGAAATGCATTTAGCCAATAGAAACGCTTAGCGATTTTGATTGGTTGAATATTTTCAAGCATTCGGTCTTTAAAGCATGAGAACCCTCCCCTTCTCATGCTTGAAGGACCGAATGCTTGAAAAATTTCAACCAATGAAAATCGCTAAGCGTTTCTATTGGCTAAATGCCTTTCTCACAAAATCGAAGTCAAATAAACAGAAAATGTTTTAAATCAGTGGAAAATACTCAAAAACAGGGGCGGATTTAGGGGGGGGGGGGGGCGGGGGGGGCGGACGCCCCCCCCCCCTCAGGGATTCGACCCCCTGCCGACCCAAAGGGTCCCCCCTTTGATACTTTTTCAGAAATCCATTTTTGGCCGACCGACCCTAAAATTTTTCTAAAGGCGCCTTTGGCGCCAATATATACTAACTTTGAGGGGGAGCGCGCGCCAAAAAAAACGCGATTTTTTTGTCAAAATTTTTCAAAAATTGCCCAAAAACGGCTGTTTTGACTGTTTTTTCAAAAATTTGCCTGCGGCGCAGAAAATTTCGCCAAAGTAGGGGCAAAACAGTGCTTTGGGAGAGCTCGAAAAATCAATTTGGTCGACCTAAAAAAAAAAAAAAGGTCGTCAGTCGTCAAAATTTTGGAAAATTTTTTGAAAATCCGCCCCCCCCTCGAGAAAATCCTAGATCCGCCCCTGCTCAAAAATATTACAAATTGCTGGTTACAACCGCAATACTTATCAGGTAATCATCAAGATTAATGAGGTCAAAATTATATGATTTTTTCAGTCTTGAAAACTCATCTGCTTATTATCTAATCGGTCAATACAGTGCTGATTTAAATTATACGGACAAAACGAACAAAATTGAACTTTCAAACGCGTTTTTCTCATATTGGGTTAAGATTAGACAAAAAGTGAAGAGAACAAAAGTTGCTTAGAATTTCGCCAAAATTAATATGGTGCCATTTTTTCATTGAAATTCTCAACAAAAATTTTACCCTAAAAATGGGTCATTTTGGCTTTTTTCAATTAATCAAGAATTACGCTGAAACTACTTTGTTAATTGATATGAAAGTTATATCACAGGAAGCCTCTTACGCAGTTCAACAAAGTTTAAGAAGGATTAAATTTCCAAAAATTTGCGCAAATTGTTCAAAATTAATTTTTAAACAGAGATTCTGGGTTTTATATAGTAAAAATCACATTTATTGACTATCAAGTGAACATTTTTTCTTTTATACTGGTTTTTGGAGATTTAACCCTTCTTAAACTTTGTTGAACTGCGTAAGAGGCTTCCTGTGATATAACTTTCATATCAATTAACAAAGTAGTTTCAGCGTAATTCTTGATTAATTGAAAAAAGCCAAAATGACCCATTTTTAGGGTAAAATTTTTGTTGAGAGTTTCGGAGAAAAAATGGCACCATATCAATTCTGGCGAAATTCTAAGCAACTTTTGTCCTGTTCACTTTTTGTCTAATCTTAACCCAATTTGAGAAAAACGCGTTTGAAAATTCAAGTTTTGCTCGTTTTGTCCGGATAATTTAAATCAGCACTGTATTAACACTAATGGCCTGGATTCATTTTCTTTCTTTGAGATTTTCGCGATTTACTTTGAGATTTTGAATACTCAATTCTAATTGGCTGAAAGTAAGCTAAAATTAATTTCAAGCATTCGGTCCTTCAAGCATGAGGGACGCCACCAAGGCATGTAAAACTGTCTCGATGAAATAATTAGATCACAATTTAAAATGATGTCATCATGTTTGGCTCAACACCAACCTTTGCATGCAAATTGAGTTGTTCTGTTGTCTTGTTCGAAACCGAGTTGACACTCACACGAGAAAGACAAATGTGTGTTGGTACAGTCGGATCCGCTCGTCGTACCACATCCATCAGAAGCGCATTCGTCCATATCTAATACGCACACAAACTGTAACTGTTTCCGTACTCGTTGTGGCTTGAGGGTGAAGCAACATTACCCAGCCAAGAGAAATAGCAAAAAAATAGCATGCAGATCTTAACCAGGTGCACAACAGCGGTTTTCCGAGAAGGGCTGAACAGCTCGTATGTTGGTCTTTCCCTTGTTATTAGGTCTTGCGTCTTAACTTAAACTACCCATTTTTTCAGTTTTTGAACAATATTTGAGAAAATTTTTATTTTTAAGACTTAGTTTGAAGGTGATATTAAATGACTAAAAAACAAGAAAAATCAAGTTTTCATGTAGTAGGGCAATTCAAATCCAGTACAATTAAAACTTCAGGGTACATCAAGTTTCGATTAAAAAGAAAACTAATCAGTTCAAAGTTTTTTTGAATTTGTTTGTGTTACAACTTGGCCGAGTTACAACCAAGGCCAAAATCTCGAATATTGAGGCTTGCTTACCACCCTGCAAAAAAAAACACTTTTCGAGTACAAATAAGATGCAAATAAGGTGTATACAAATAACATAAGACTTTGGCATATATATTAATTTATAGTTATTGAAAAACAACCTTTGCAGCTTCGCTCGTCCATTGAGATGTACTCCTCTGCTCCGGTGATACATTCGGAACAAGTAAAATCTCCTTCAATATTTTCGCAATTTCGCAGAAAGTCTTCGTTGCATATCTTTTCTCCCGTCATGTTACACATTCGTCCGGTTTCTAAACAAGCCTTCAATTAATTGGGTTATGGGAGCACACACGCAAAAGCACACATGGGGGCTAGGTCTTCTTCCTTCAGTGATTCGACCCCTTAACCGCCCAAAGGATCTCTTTTATACTGATGTACGACATTTATGACATCCATATTTGGTCGACTGACCCTAAAAATTTTTTTATAAAGGCAAAGGCGACATGGGCGCTGGGCGCCATTACATTCAAATTTTTATAAGAAGAGAGCGCCAAAAAAACAATTTTATGGTCAAAACTGTTTCAGGTGCTAAGCTTTAAGGCGCTAAACACGGCAGTAGCTTCGTATGTTTTCAAAAAAACTCGCCCACGCTGCAGAAGTAGTTATGCTCGAGTGTTCTTTTAAATTATCAAATTTTTGGCATATCGAATTCGATATAAATGTTTTCCAAATTACCCTGAAGATATCGACTCCCTGAGATCAAATGTAGAATAAACTCACCTGTGATTATTTTGTTAAAATTTTGGGGGTCTGAATGGTGCCATTTTGGGCAAGTTGAACTATAAGACAAGGTATTAATGATGCTCAACATTTAAGCGCCTTTTTTATCAAGCGAGGCGAATTATTCCTCGAAATTGGAATGAAGCCAGCTAGTTTGTCTGATTATTTCCGTACATTATTCAAATCATAATTTTTAATACTTTTTAATACGAGGGCAAAAAATCAAAATAGCGAAATTCATAGCTTGATTAAGTTTTCTTTTGCCAAAATTTATCTACACTACTTTAAAGGGCAGTTTGATTAGAAACTTGAAAGATTCGTTGCAATACGGGCGGATTTAGGGGTCGGGGGGGGGGGGGTCCGGACGTTTTTTTTTCTCAGGGATTCGACCCCCTGCAGACCCAAAGGGTCCCCACTTTTTACCGTTTTGAGATATCCATGTTTGGCTAGCCGACCGTAAAATTTTTCTTAAGGCGCCTTTGGCCCCAATATATACTAATTTTGAGTGAGGAGCGCGCGCCATAGAAAAAAAAACAAAAAAGTGCCTAAGAACGCCTGTTCAAAATTCTGCCTGCGGCACAGAAAAATTGGCCAAACCAGGGTGGTCTTTTTAGTAGTTTGGGAGTGCTCCGAAAATCAATTTTGTCGACGTAAAAAAAAGGTCGACAAAATTTTCGAACATTTTTAGAACAACCGCCCCCCCCCCCTCTCGAAAAAATCCTAGATTCGCCCCTTCTCCAATAGCAGCTTTTTTCTTCATTTCTCTCACGGAAAGGTTTTATTTTGTTTGCCATATTTCAACAGTTTGGGAATAAAAAAAACTAAACATTTCCTCACCGACTATCAGTTTTTTCTTTTGCAGTTTTTGTCTGATGTCTTCGCAATCATGTTTATCAGGGCTGACAAGTACTAGGCAAGTATCCCAGGTCAGGTCAGGAACTTCTGTTTTCGCCAAATCAAAATTTGACTCCAACTCAACGTCAAAACCGCACAAACTAACACTGGCGCAGAAGATTCCCAAACTGGCGCGATATTTAGAATACAAGCTCAAGCAAAAGTTTATGTCCGAGGTTGTCAAAATATATCCGGGTAGGTTAGGCAAAGAAAATTTTGGCACCTTCCAGGGACAAATTTTGATTCCTGGTTGATGAAAACAACTTTCAACTTTGCAATAATAAAGTTTCAGGAGGGAAAGAAAAAACAGCGCAGTTTTCAGTCTCATCTTTCGATTTTTGGAATAAAACTTCAGATTGATGCGTTAAAATCAAATATGAAAAATTGTTAGAAATTTTGTTCACGCAATTTGTTGAAATAATATACCGACTGGCTATCAAACGGAAAATATGAAAGAGATAACTGAAAATTACAAAGGGGCAGGTTGATCGAACCAAGAAAAAATTGATCGAGGATTACTTGCAAAAAAGAAAAAAAAAGTTGGTAGGAGGGCTGTCGCGCAATTAAAACAGGTGAACTTATAATGAGATATCAGAAAAGAGATAAAGGAAAATAGAGCTATGACCAAAAATCACCTGCTCAAACTTTGCTTGATTATTGGTAATTTTTCCATTTTCTTCTATTTGAAACAAATATGAGATTTTTTGTATGATTTAGAATCGAGTTTTGAAGTTTTCAAGAGCGGTGCATGCCTGGGGAAAAACTTTTCAAAGGCTTGCAATGTTTGTATGGAGTGTATGGATGAATCAAAGAAGGGTCTTTGGCTGGTTTTCAAAGCTTATTTTACACAAAAACCAAACCTTGACTGCCAGTTGAAATAATTATTTCAAATTGAAAATTTTTTTTCCCACGTGAATGAATCAACTATATTGGAACCTGATCTAAACTACATTTTATGATTGGATAAATTAGATATTTTACCAATGTAAAGTATTTAACATTAACCAATCATGATCCATCTAACTAACAATCCACTTATTTGTAAGTGCTGAAATTACTTGTAATTTCAGCACCAGAGAGATTTGAATTTAACTTAGAAATTAGTTGAACTCTCCCGAGTACTTCAGCAGCCGCAATAAACCAGTATACCCTAGATCTATTGAGCCTAGCAGAGACTAGTTAAACAACCTGAGACTAGATAGTATAAGAGTAAGATTAGGATCGGTCTTAGACTAAGAAGTTGCACGAATCTATCCGGCCGAAAATAAGATAGCGTGACGAGCAGACGGTGTACCCTATCCGAAATTACTCTATGAGTTATACCCATCGGTCCTAACTCATCTGGTGCGACCATAAGTCTCGAAAAAGACCTTAATAGCTTAGAATTAACCAATAATAGATTAGAATTTAGACAAAACATTTACAAAATGTTATACGACAATAATTTAATCGAAATGTCTCTACGACTCAATAGATCAGAGCCAATATTCCGAACGATAACAGAACTACCCGGAATTGGAAGAAGACCTCGAACCAGAGACGACATACGACAAAGCAGAAACTTACCATATAGTTATATGATAGTTCGGCAAAAGCCAGAACAAACTTTTGTATTTAGAATACTACTAGCAATGAATATAGATTTTCATTTGCAAACATAAAATTTTGAAGTCAATCTTCAAAATCATTTCAGGCGCTAAACAAAATTATTAATATACAATAACGATTGATAAAAAGATCTCAGATCGTTTTCCTAAATTCTGCAGTAATATACAAAACATGTTTGAAAAAAATTTATTGAAAAATCAAAATAAAAATTAGTAGCATGACAATAAACGGTTAGTAATTATAAATCATCCTGTTGTTCCAGCTTCATCGCCTAAACATAACAGCATTCATAAGCTCACTAATATCATAAAAATACTAAATCTATTCTTTACACAAATTTAAAACATTTTAAACTTAAATTCACTTAATTTTAAAATCAGATCATCAAGGCTTATCCTTGGATCTTAAATCATTTTCTATTTAATTAAATTTAAAACTTGATCATCAAGGCCTATCCTTGGATCAAAAAGAACAACTTTGTTCTCCCCCACCCACTTAACTAGTGTCTAACGACCTCAAACGTCGATTCACTATCCAACCCTTTCTAAAAACCCAGGACTAATAGAAATTTTTGAACAAAACTAATCATTCAAATTAGGATAAACAGTGAAGAACTTCGGTTATTCATCCTTCACTTGATCCCCCCTCTTACCAGACCCAGGATAAATCTTAAACTTAGTAAGTTTAAAATAGTATCTAACGAACTACTCGCGTTCTAATTATACCTGAACCTTGTGGATCGATTTACTATTCTCCAACCCTGAACACAATCACTACCCTTAAGTAAGATTAAGTAAGTTAACACCTTAGCTTATACTATCCACGAAAAAGTATAAAATCATTCTTCGGAATCGATATACTTTTCTCCCCAACCCTGAACAAATAGACCCAGGTTAGGCTAACAAAAAAATCGTAAGGACTAACAGTTTAAGCAAATAGAAATCATTTAACAACCTTTTGCATCCGTCATCCTAAACCTTATGTCATTTAAAAACCTAGGAAATAAACAAACAATCGTTTTACACAATTTTGAAATAGATAACAAAAAATACGATCTTGTAATCACACCTCATACACAAACAGTTGGATACATTAGAACAAAACGACAAACATTAAAGAGAAAAATAATAACTAAACAAAGACAAATAACACGAAAAAGATTTTCAAAAAATCGAAACGCATTTTCAGAATCAGAAACCAACAGTTTAGACGAACTTTATAAACTAAAAGAATCAATAGATAAAAATTGCCCAATTCACGATCAATTATATTTCTCTGACTCAGAAACAACTTCAAATTCATCAAAAAGAGGAAAAAGAAGAATAAAAAAGCAGTATAAACACAAACCAGTACATTTATACAATTGGAATCAACCAATTAGACACATTGATAATTACATATTAACAGTCATCGAACGAAAAAATGAGCTCAACGCACACCCCAGGTGAAGAAAGTCCAGATGATGATGATATCTTCCCCTTTATCGTAGATGCAACCACTGATAGAGGACAGCATATATTTTGCAAAAATTTACTCTTAAATTTGTTTGAACCCGGAATCAGTCCATGTAAAACAGAGTTCCCAGATGTAAAAATCAAAAGACAAATTATCGATCACTATCTAAAAGATATATGTAACCTAACACAACAATACGGAATCTACTCCATAGAATTCAGCTCACCAAATCAGAATCACAATAAATATATAATTCAAACAGACGACCTTGATTTAGAATTTTCAAAAGTATTCTCAGAATATATAAAAAGCATCCAAAATCATAACTCACAAAGAGCAAACTCCATATTCACCAATGAAGTTTTTGCGATAATATATAGTTATATATCGATATTAGAAAACGAAATCCAGATACCAAATGTCTCACCGACAGAAACATCTAAACATATAAGAGTACGACATGAAATCACACTACTCTCTAGTTTTCTAAATATAATTAAAGAAAATTTCACGAAAGATGAAGTTTCCCAACATACAAAACACGACTTACAAAAAACTTTGGCATGGTTCATAATAGATTATTTCACACATAATATTGATTTAATTTCACAAGCAAGAAAAAATTTTAGACCCCAAAACTCAAACGATGATACTGCCATCACAGAACAATCAGACTATGTTTGGGACCCCGAATGGTCTCATCCCGCATTCATAAACTTCCCACAATCAATCTCAAGTCAAGCAATAAGTACGATATCTTATGTAAGAGATTATGTAAGAGTAATACCATTAACCATTGATGCAACACCATTAAACTATAATACAATTTTACCCGATATGCAAAATAATAGTTTAAACTCTACAGTCATACACAATGAAAACCTCAATGGAACTAGGAATCTTACTCAACGAGATATCCAGACACCATCACACTTCATAAATGAAGAAGTCGTACACACAACAACTACACAACAAAGTATTTCACCAATACGTCCAAACTTAACAACACCAAGAAATACAAACCCTTCACAAACACAGGTAACCTTACAATCAACCGTTAAACCTTCGGTTGCCCCAAAATATTCACACATGGATTACCAAACATACAGACCCATGACAATACCGCCAAAAACACGCAAAACGTTCACTAGAAACAATTTTGCAGATCATAATTATAATTACACACATCCATCAAAAACAAATTATCAACCACGAAAAAATTTTAGTAATTATACAAGATCTCGAAACTGGGATAACTCAATGGCACCACCTAATTCAGTAAATTTCCAAACAAATTTACATCCTCCACAGGATCGTAGTGAAAACTATCCATTTTTTCAACAAAATAAAAATAAAAAACAAACATCTTATCAAATGGATTACTTATCCTCAGATGATGATTTCTTACAACCAGATATATTTGCACCCTATAATCAAGAATATCGAAACCACATACATATCATAGAATTTTTTCTCCACAACCAATAGATACACAAAATCAACAACCAATTCAGCAACAAAACCCAATTAATACACAATCTTTTCAACCAATTCAGCAACAAAACCCAATGATTGCAAACTCGTACCAACCAACACAAATGCAAAATGAAATACCACTCCCAAATTATCTTCAACAACACGAAATAACAAGAAATCAACTTTCCAATTTTTCTCAAATGCCAAATGCAGCAGAATCATTACAAATGACAATGAATCCATACCTTATGGGTGGATCATCAATAACATCAAATAAACCTTTAATGGTATTCACAGGAACAGACGCTGAATATTCTGTAGAAGACTATTTAAATGCAGTAACAGCAAATTTAATTTTAAATATAGGACCTGAACCAATTAATACGCCACTACATCAAAACTGGATACATCGACGCACAGCGTTGATACAAACAACTTTAGATGGCGCAGCCCAAAAATGGTTTTCAGTATTGCCTATAGAAATAAAATCAAATTGGAAAAGGTTTACACAAGAACTTTCAAAAATGTTTGACTCCGAAAGAAACAAACAACAACAAAGAGTTCTATGTAATGAAATTCGCAGATTACCAAACAAAACCATCAAGCAATTAGCAGTACGAATCGAAACACTAGTTCGAAAAGCATATTCATTAAATACACATGACTATAAAAACACAAAGATGACAGAAATCTTAATGATGACCTTAACACCGCAATTAAGAAAAATAGCAATAAAAAAGAGAGCATCCCATCCTTCTTCAATTCGAGAACCCGATTTAGATTTTCGAAAACTAGTAGACAAACTAGAACAAGCAGAAATCACGATGAAACTCGAAGAAACGGAAAATCTGAAATTACAATACGTTAACAGAATTG